TTGTTTTGTTTTGTTTTGAAGACTGTTTTTAATATATTGTGTATTTAGATTTGAATCAGGCACCATTGGAGTGGGAGACAAGGTATAAAATTGCAATTGGGACAGCAAAAGGGCTTCATTATTTACACAAAGGTTGTCAGAGAAGGATCATACACAGAGACATTAAATCCTCCAATGTTCTCTTAACCCAAGATTTCGAACCACAGGTACTATTGTTTATTTTCTTTCTCTTCTTAATTTCCTAACTGTTTTCATTATTAAATATTTTATATTTTCATTTAATAATAGTATGAAAAGATGAAAAATAATTGTCTTTGTATTTTTAGATATCTGATTTTGGGTTGGCAAAATGGCTGCCTTCTCAATGGTCTCACCATTCTATTGCTCCAATTGAAGGCACATTTGGGTATTTTTTTTGTACTCAGACTTTATTTCCATATTTAAACTATATAACAAACTGCATGTGTTTTGCTTTAACATATTGATCATTTTGAATAAAAACAGGCACTTAGCTCCAGAGTATTATACACATGGGATTGTGGATGAGAAGACTGACGTATTTGCCTTTGGAGTGTTCTTGCTTGAACTCATTTCTGGTAAAAAACCTGTTGATGCCTCCCACCAAAGCCTACACAGCTGGGTAAATCCAAATTAACCCGAATTTAATTACTATTTGCTTGTTATTTTTATTTAGCCTGCTTTTTTAAATAAGCTTACTTTTATTTTGCCTATTTTTCCTAGTGTTATGATTTTGCCTACTTTTATTTTCACATTTATTATATTCTTAAGGTGTGATTGGTAAAAGTTGAATAATTTTTTTTGTAGTTTTCACTCACTTTTGCATAATAATTTTACTAATCAAAACTTTACGAAACCAAAAAACTCATAACATATAGATGTAGGTATTTTTATACACCCAAAGATTTTTTAGACCAAGGGCTTAAAAATGTACAAACTTATCTATAAGAAAAAAGTAATGTACATCTTCAAGCCTTGCCAGTCGGACCTTTGAACCATATATTTTGCATATAGTTTCAGAGAAATGAATTCATAGTGTATTTACATATTGTTATTTTTGACTGAAAATACATACGGTCTTGATGACACATTACATATTTATATTTTAACAGGCGAAAACGATTATAAAAGAGGGAGATATTGAGAAGTTGATGGATCCAAGGATCGGTGAAGACTTTGATATCCAACAGCTTCATCGCATAGCTTTTGCTGCGTCCCTCTGCATCCGATCATCGTCTCCATGTCGACCTACCATGATCGAGGTACGTTCATTAAGCTCATTAATCATTCAATCTATTTACTACATGTGCATGAAATAAAAGCATTATTTTAGTGTATATGGCATTTTGTACATATTTGGTAGTTTCTTTTTCTTCCTAGATAGGGTTAATTTGTTTGTTTTGTTCCGTTCATATTAATAATTAAAAACCTACTTTGGGGAATAAAGAACAATATTGTATCGTTAAAGTTATGAATTTTTAAAAAGCCAAAGTATCTTTTTGTGATTGGTTCATAATAATAAGACGTAGTATCGTGTCGATATGTTACTCAACGATTCGCTTTTCAGTTAGATAACTGGCTGCGTGACTAAAAAGTTTCTTTGCTGTTCATTATATTATGATATATTGAATAATCCCCTATATATTAATTGAGAAACATTTGAAAAGATGTAACCTTAAGTTTGTAATAATTAAAAAGTAACCTTGCTTAGTTGTCAATCAATTAGCATACCAATTAAACTGACGTGACAGCTTTAGGTTCAATTGAAATTTGCTAGGGAAAAATAATTAGAGACGCATATAACGCATGTAACATAGTTTATATATATATATATATCGCACGCATGTAATGGAAGAAAAGGAAAATATACGATTTGATAATGATTTTCATATATTAACTATAATAACTTCATTCCTTTTAATTTATGGAAGTGTATATGTAAAATGGAAATTACTTTGTGACCAAGTACATACTTAATGGTAAAGGCAAGAACGTTTATTATATGAATATATCTTTTGATCATTTTGACAAAACAATGAACGATATAAAGAGGCACAATCTATTATTTATAAACGTTTAAAGCTTAAACATTTACTATATGAACGTTTATTAAATTATTATATGAACTTTTATTATAAACGTTTATTATAATAGCTTATATATAATAATTATTATAAGGCAAGAACGTTTATTATATGAATATATCTTTTGATCATTTTGATCAATAGTTTAACATTTTTATTATAAAAAGATACACATGATTATAAAACCATATGAATAAAAAGTATCATTCAATAATAAAATATATATATATATATATATATTAAACTATATACCATATAAGATTACATACTTATTTTAATTTCAAAAATTTCAATGAATTTTCAAGAACATTTATAAATTATAAACGTATAAAATTTTTCACATTGAAAATTTTTGTTATCAATGATTTAAATATATTAATTCTTTCTAAAAATTTTCTATTTTTTAAAGATATTAACACAGTCGATAATATGATTATTTTTGGTATATACCATACAAACCGAATGTATGTGATTTTATAAAAACCGTAAGATTTGGATATGGTTTGATTTATAATCGATTAAACTGAAACATGTAAATATGTATATCTATTTGTTACATAAGTTGAACTATAATTATG